GGGCAGAAATGGAGTGAAAACCTGGGGAGTGTCCCCAGGGGGTCAGCCCCGAGATGTAGAGAGTCACGTTTTGTGCTTTCCCCCCACTCCAGTTATTTTTTTAAATTTTCTCCATCAGGATTCTCCAGAGAAGAGCCTTTGCCATGCTTCATCCATCACAGCAGGGACGTTGGCCTGGGGTATACTATGCTTGCTGCTCTGTCCCAGCCAGGTGGCATTGAAAAGAGGAGGATATTTTGTTCTCATGTCGGGGGGGAGGGTGGAGGTACTAAAATTATTTCTAACACTTTGTGAGCTGCTCCAGGCGTATGGCAGCACAGTGATGCAGGTATCTCTGTTGTGGGGCAGGTCTGAGCTGGAGGGACAGGTTGTGCTCTCGGCTGAGCCACAACCTCCCTTTTGAATTAGAAAATTTAAAAACCACCATAGCTGCTCTAGCATCTCCCCGTCGTACACAGGGTGAGCTGGTAGGGGAAAAGCAGACTGAAAGATTAGAGGTTTGGTGCAGAGGTTAAGGCTCCCTGGGATGATGCAGCAACGGGGTGCATAGGAAGATGACATGTCTGAGCAAGACCACAGTGTTGACGAGTTCCTTGGCCCCTCTTGTACCTGGCAGTGCTGGGGAGCACCCCACGTGTGCCTGACACTGCACCCCATGAAATCCTCCTTCTCTAAAAGTGGCAACTTCAGCAGCTCACAACCCTGCAGCCACTTGGTATCCAACTCCCCTAGCTCTACCCATAGGTGCAGGGCTATGGGGTGCCTGCAGTGGGGATCCCCTTGCTATGCTAGGACTGAGCCTGGCACAAGGGGATGGAGCCACAGCTGGAGGTTTTTCCCCTGAGGGGCTTCTTTGTGTTGTGCCTGCAGCAAACCCTTCCCATACACCCAACACACCTATGGCACAGGGGCCGAGGGGTACACAGGTATTTGGGTCTGGCCACTCCAGCCTGTCCAGCGCAGCCTTTGCAGCCTGCTTTGGGGGCAGCTCCCTGGGGAGGATGGGGCATTGGGAATTGTGCCTTTTCCTCTTATCTGCAGACAGTCACGATGCTTAAGTGGCTTGTTTTTCATTACGGAAAGGCTGTTGCTAGGCCACCCTGGTCCCTGGCATTGGTCGGGAAGGGGTTTTGCAGCCAATCCGGGCGGCTGTGCTGGCGGTTCGCACACGCACACACATGCACACGCACACATGCACACGCGCCCCCCTCCTGCAGCCGAAGTGCTAAGCGGCTTCCAGATGTGCCTATTCATTTCCACATCACACCTATTCGCTTCTTCCGGCCAAGCAGGTTATTAAGGCTCTTGAGATTTTAATTTATAGCTGGCCGTGAGTTTTCTCTCTTCTAATTTATCCTCGGGGTGGAAAGGAGAGGGGAGATGGTGGGTGGGGGTACTGATAGAGTAGGGAGCATAGGGAGGCCAGTTTGGTCTCTGGCAAGTCACCCGAGTGAACCCTTTGCTCTCTGCCTGCAAACGGGGTGAATTGTCCCTCTGTGTCCTCACAGGGAGGGCACAGACTGCCCCAGATTAGGAGCTTGCTCTGAGCTGTTATTAGGTACTGGCATTGCTCTACCCCAAGACATTTGAGGATTATGACAAGGAATTGAAACCGAAAACATACTGAAAACTGTGGACAATTGACATGAAACTCAGGTGCTGAGTGTCCCCCATGAAAACCTCCATGTAGCAGGAGGGCAGGAAGGGGTAAGCTCAAAAAAAGCAAGGGAAAGCATTGAATCACCACCGTCTGCTGCTCAAGGAGAGGCTGTTGCTAGACAGAAGTAAAAGCCGTCGCCATCGGCTCCCATTGGCTCAGTCCCACTCCAATGACGGGCTTATCAGTTACCTGCGCTTGCAGCTGGCTGGAAAAAACTCATTTGACAATGTTTTCCCTCTGATAAAAAAGCCCATTGCTGCATTCATGGCTTTGGGTTAATCATTATTCAGGGTGGTTGAGACAACGGCCGAGTTTTCTGCAGATTCTTCAATTATCGCAAAATTTAGTGTAAATGGTGAGCCAGCCCAGCTCTTCTCTGCCTGCCTAAAGATGCTCAGCTCGGGTGCTGAGCCAGAGTGAAGATTGGCTGCTCTCAGCCATAGCAACTCCCTGGCAGGTAGGTGAATATTCACAAACACCTGTGAAAATCCTGGTTATCTCTTGAAGGGTTCACCAGGTGCAAACAGGAGGAAAGTTGCCATTCAGATTATCCAGAGCAAACATCATTTTTTCGGCAGGGAGAGGGTTGCCACCGCCCCCCGTCATCCATGGAGGGGTTTGCTCCTCAGCAACCCTGCCTCGGTTGGCTGGGGGACTGCAGAGCACAACATTAGGGTTTTTCCAGCACTTCAAATGGGGATTGAACCCCTAGATTTGTTTCTCAGCTTCCCCAAGTGCTGGAAATCACAGCATAGAAGCAAAGCTTGCAGGACACATGAACACCAAAGGGCAGACAGCCTTTGGCTGCCTTCAAATTTGCCCCCAGAGCAGGGGGATATTTCAGCAGGGGGGTAAATCAACGCAGTGGTGATGGGGACGAGCTCTCAGAGACAGCCTGGGACTCCCCCAGCACCTCATGCCACTGTGTTTAGAGAAACCTGTCCCTCGCCTGGAGTCTAGCCCAGGCTCACTATCAGAAGTGGGCCTAACTGAAGTGTGTGGATGATCAAGACTTCAGAAATGTGGTTTTTTTCCTTAATTGCACCTTCCCCTCGCTGCTGGCTGATGGCAAGGCAGGCTGAGTCACTGGCTGATAAAGCCTCACGGCCTTCCACCTCCTTTTGCAGCTTTCTCCAGCCTCACCCCAAGGCACCTGTGTCTCACATCGAGCCATTACGTGCCTTAGGGCAGGTTGGTGCTCTGGGGTGGTGGGACACTGTGGGCTGTGGGGGCAACAAGGGAGAACTCAGGTGGACAAACAAACTGGGAGCTGTGGGGTGCTCCATGCGAGCTCCCTGAAAAACCCATATTCCCTGAGAGGATAGTTATAAAGGCCAGGTTATATGGCCATGAGCAAAGCGTCCCTACACTATGTCCTTCCTCTGGGTCTGCTTTCCCCAGAGCAGACAGTGCTGTTGCGTTGCCTTTGGGATGCCACCATCTTCTGATGGGGTCTGCTGACCACTGAGCTCCTATCACTGGGCTTTCCTCCTGCCACCCCAGGAGAGGTAAAAACAGCAGAGAGGAGGAAACAGAGAAAAAACTTGTGCCAGCTGTGATACTCCTGCATCCCCCAGGTGCCCCGTGGGGTCCAGGTCCCTCCTGCACCCTGCCAGGTCCTGCTGACACTGCAGAGCATTGCACTGGAGTTTGGCTGAGCTGCAACCCAAGGAGGGTGGTGCTGGCCGTGTTTTACAGCTTGCTGCATCAAGGACACGCCTGGGACAAACTGGCATGGGCAGGAATTAAAGTCCTACCCAGTATCCACATTTCTGACAAGGTCTGGTCGAGGGTGCCTAGACCATGAGCTCACGGCACAGCCCCATTATTATTTCTGTTGAAGAAAGGTTGTGCTCAGGCCATAGGGAAGGCAGAGAGTTTTGATCATGTCCGACGTGTTTCAAAGCATTTCTGAGCTGTCCCCAGCTTCCCCTGCTGGGCAGGGAGGAGTTAAGATGGAAAAGTGCAAGACGTGTCTTGTAATGGCACTGGAGTGCGTCAGGTGTGCCTGCGTCACCCGGCTCCCTTGGCTGCTACCCAAGGCTGGGGCTGAGCTCTCCTTCCCTCCCAGGAGAAGTCTGGGACCTGTCTGGCCTGGCTGCAGGGGGACACGGGCTCCATTTCAGCACTGGCTGCTGTGCTGTGCTGTGGCCGGGCTCCTGACAGCCCCCAGGGTGCTGGCAGGCCTCCAGCCCCCTCCCATCACACAGTCTGGGGCAGTGGGACTGGAGATCCCTCTGCCAAAGGGGTGGCCTCAGCCTTGAGGCACCTGGCAAAAAATAGTGATTTTCTGTAACCGTGGCTGTTCAGTTCCTCTGGGAGACATGCGACTCCCTACCTCCAGCCCTAAATCCCACTCCAATATTCACTACACCCAGCTGGGGTTTATCTGTGTAGCTACAGGTACCTGCATACATCACCCACGAAATGCTGGACCAGAGTTCTTGCTGAGCCCATCCCCTGCTCCTGTCTTCGCAGGGATGTCCCCAGAGGGGAGGAAACCAGCCCATAGCCTAAGGAATTGCCTTGCTCCAAGGAACTGCTCTCTCCAGCCATCATCCAGCAACTTTTCTGGTTACAGGTGGGTTTAAGCCCTGGGACACAGCCTGACGTGCAAGCAGCACGCAATCTACATTTGCTAACTTCATCTCTGTCCTCTCCCTCCTGGAGAGCTGCCAGGTCAGATCATGCAGCACATACACAAGGGTTTAGCAAGGACAACTTCAGATTCAGACAATTATGTGAATACTTTATTTAAAATGAAGTGCATCTAGTGCTCTTGTCTAGGCTGGACACTGATTACATCCAAACTTTCTTTTCAGGCTTCACTGTGCCAAGCCAGCAGGGAGAAAACTGGTTGCTTAACTGGCCCTGGATGGTTTGCAGCCTTTGGGCATCAGCATGACACCTCAATGCTCCCACAGGAAGAATTGCCACTCGCCCACCACAGAGGCATCCTCTCCCAGAGGACATCGGAGGTGCCCTGGCAGCCCCAGGCCACCGCTGCAGCCATTGCACACCCACAGGGGGTCTTCCAGGCTGTCACCAGGACCCTGCTCATCCCCGAGCATCAAGTGACAGATGAACACGGCGCAGAGCCGCAGCACTTATTTCTGTGCAACAGAAACAGGCTGCAGAGAGCATTTTTGGGAGATCGCCAGTGTCCAAGTGTCACTATTTCTTTGTCCTAGAGCAGACTCCCCTGCACTGCTGCTCTTCTGGGTGCTGGGCAGAGCCCATGGGGCACAACCTCTGGGGGAGGAGGGCAGCAGCCACCTCCACCTTTAATAGCTGAAGGCATCAGGATGGCCCGAAACACGCAGAGGAGATGCTGTTCCCATCACAGGCCACTTGCCATCAGGTCCGTGGGCCAGTACCGGTCATCCATGTACTGGCTGCTGTCTGTGCTGGGGTCTGTGATGGGGCTGGGGGGCCGCGGGGGTAAGCTGAGGGCCAGCTCTGTCTCCCACTGCACCTCCACCAGTCGGTACAGCTCCATGGCCGTCTGAGCATCCTCCACTGATGAGTGCCCTTTGCAGCCAACCTGAGCAAAGGAGGAAATGCCTTGTTAGAGAACGGGGGTGTCAACAATCCCACAGGTCACCTTGTCTGGTTCTGTGGAAGAACACAAGCATGGGGGACTTTGAAGATGGTAAAGGTTAGATGTAGCTGAGGAGATGCATGCATCTCTTGGGCACTTTCTGGAAGGCACAGGTCCTGTCCCTGCTTTAATAAGGTGCTTAATGGTCAGCCTGGGAGGTCCTGGGCTCCCCCAGCTTGATCACAGCTGGGAGCACAGGATGAACAAGGTTCATCTCCATCTCACAGAGAGCACCCATGGAGATGGGGGGACCAGGCTGACCGCACAGGCTTGTAGCAAACCCAGGAATTGCTCCCCATCTCAAAGATTCCTGGTGCTTACCTGTATCTTTTTATGGAGCAGGTGGCTGGCCAAGCTCTTTAGTGAGACACTGGCCTTGCTGGGCAGCCCTGCCTTCTGGTTCAGCATGGGGATCCGGCTGGTGTCTCGGGTCCTGTCTTTCGGGTGAAAGTACTTTAGGGCTTGGAAGTCGTTGTGGATGGCGTGTCCTACCACAATCTTGTCTTTCAAGATCTTCAGGATCTGGAACCATCAGAAAGGGTTAGACAGGTAGTACACCAAAAGAAACACCAATTAAGCATAAAATAAACAATTTTCTGTTAATTTCAGTTCCTTCAGTTCTAGTTTTTTTTAGGATGACAGAACTGAGCAGTAATAAGCAAAACAATCCCACTGCACGGCTTTGGAGAGTTCCTGTTCTGTCCTTGTGTCTCTACCTCAGAGTAGCTCAGCATGGTCCACCAAATATCCCACTTTGTGGCCACATAATCTTTTTTTTTTAAATTTTATTTTTTCTTTTTGTCCTCACCTCTGCCTGGGCAGCCTTGAAGGGAATTGCTCTCTTCATGTGCTGCTTGGTGATGCCACTCCAGCGTGTCCGGTAGTCCACAATGGGGAGCTCGGGCTGGACATACTTGTCATAGATGACGTCCCCCTCGTAGTTCACCACAGAGCACCGTGCCAGCTCGCTCAGCCTCCCCTGAGGACCGGTACCCACCATCTCGCAGTCAATGGCAACGTACTTGCCAGGGTGCAGGAGAGAGGAGGACGTCTGTACCCCCTTGTAGCTGCCACTCCCTTGGGACAGCAGCATGGAGTGATGCCTGGCTATGCTGTCCGGAGAGGCAGATGGGGACAGGGATGGGGGGACAACCTTTTTGGACATGGGGACCTTCCCACAGTGCGGTGCTGTGGTGTCATCTGCCCTGGTGAGCGTGTTGCATGCCTCCAGCTCCACCATGGGGGCCTGGCTGCCCGGATGCCGATGGAGGCCTAGCAACCCCTTCTGCTCCAGCAGCGCTCGGCGCTCCATGAACCGCTGGTGCTTGCGACTTTTCTTCTTGTTGCGATGCTGCGGTGAGCTGGCACCTTCCAGGGGCTGAGCACAGACCCCCACGGTGGGGACACGGGTGCCCTGCGAGGTAGGCATGGAGACTTTTGGGGTGGGCAGCAGCGGGGTCATCTGTCCTTTGCCAGGAGGCATCCCTGCTGGAGTGGGCACAGGGCACATGAGCACCAAGCAGCCCTCATGGCTCTCTGTCAGAAGGGACCCACACACCTCACGGCACCCCTCTCCCTCCAATACCTC